AAAACTTCTCAATGAAATACTGGTATACCGAATCCAACATCATACCCAAAGGATTCACCATGACCATATTTGCTTCATTTCAGAGATGCAGGGATGGTTCAAAACAAATAAATGTTAATCATCTCATTAATAGACTCAAAGACAGAAATCACATGATCATCTCATTAGATGCTTAGAAAAGGCCTTCGACAAAATCCAATACCCTTCATGAGAAAAGTCCTGGAAGGAGCATATGTCAACATAAAGGCATATAGCATAAAGGCTATATGCTAAAAGGTGATAGCCAACATCATGCCAAATGAGAAAAAAACTGTTTCCAACTAAGATCAGGAACAAGACAAAGGACAAGCAAGAATGTCCATTTTCTCCACTCCTATTCAATATAGTGTTTGAAGTCTTACCTAGAACAATAAGACAACAGAAGGAAATGAATACAAATTGGCAAAGAAGTTAAAGTATCCCTATTTGCAGATGATATGATTCTATACATAAGAGACCTTAAAGACCTCTGTCAAAAAAATCTTAGAGTTGATAAATACTTTCAGCAAAGTGACAGGATACTATTAACTCACAAAAATCAGTAGCCTTTGTCAGTACCAATGACAAAGATGCTGCAAAGGAAATCAGAGAAACAATCCCATTCATAATAGCCACCCAAAACAAAATGAGAAAACCTGGGCTTAAACCTAAATGAAATACAAAAGACCTCTACAAAACAAACTTTAGGGTACCAAAGAAAGAAATTGAAAAGGACATCAGAAGATGGAATGATCTCCCATGCTCATATATTGGCAGGATTAATATTGTGAAAATGACCATCTTACCAAAAGCAATCTGCAGATTCAATGAAATCACAATAAAAATAAGAGGACCTTTCTTCACAGATATACAGAAAACAATCTCAAAATATATATGGAGGCACAAAAGACCAAGGATAGTTAAAGCATTCCTTAACAAAAAGAATACTGCAGGAGGTATCATGATAACTTATATCAAATTATACTACAGAGACATAGTGAAAAAACAAAACTGACACAAAATGGAATAGATTAGAGGACACCGATATAATTCCATGGAACTACAGCTGCTCTATCTTTGACAAAGACACAAAGAATATACCTTGGAGAAAAACAGCATCTTCAATAAATGGATTTTGATATGCAAAAAAAAAAAAAATGAAACTAGTTCCTTACCTCAAGGATCAAGGACCTCAAAATAAAGCCTGATAATCTGAAACTGGTAGAGGAAAAAGTAAGGAGTTCATTTTAACTTTCTAAATAGGACTCCAGTACCTCAGGAAATAAGATCAACAACTGGTAAATGGGATCTCATGAAACTAAAAAGCTTCTGTAAAGAAAAGGGAGTGGTTAATGAAGAGCCAGCCCACAGAAGGGAAGAAAATCTTTGCCAGCTACATATCTAACAGAGGATTAGTGTCTTCATTATGCAATGAACTAAAAAAAACTAAATACTAAGAAAACTTCCATTAAAAATGGACTATAGATCTGAACAGAAAGTCCTCAATGAAGAAATACAAGTGGCTATCAGGGAAATGAAGAATAAAACTATGTTAAGATTCCATCTCACATTGGTGCTAGAGAGATGGCTCAGCAGTCAAGGGCACTGGCTGTTCTTGCAGAGGATCCAGGTTTGGTTCCCAGCACCCACGTGGTGGCTAACAATCATTGTTAACTCCAGTTTCAGAGGATCTGACACACTCTTCCAGCCTCCATGGGTTTACATGCACATGGTAAACTTAAATACATCCAGGAAAAACACTTGTACACCACACCTAAAATAATAAA